AATAATTAGCCTCAGCAGCAAGGCACAACGTGAATCAAAATTAAAGTGAGGAGCACAGGACATTTTTCAAATGCTATTATGAATCATACTCAGGCTAATGATTGCAGTTTGGATGGAAAATCCCCGTGTTTGGGGTCATCCTCAGCCTCAGCCCCAACGTTGGTGTCCTCTCTGCGTGTGGGACACTGCTGTGCCAGTCCTGTGTCCTGCCAGCTCATTAACCACATCCCAGGAACAGTGTGGGGCACTTCTGACTTTAATCTTCACTGCTTGCCATTTCTTGTGGCTATTCAGCTGATGAGTGAGGCTCTGGGCTGTGTCTGCTGTGAGCCCAGTGTTGGTTCCTGCTGCTGTGTTCAGGATGTGCCCGGCTTCTCCTCCGTGCCAGAATCCCCCTGGGCTGCTGCTCTGCTGCTTTCCCTGTGCACAGGTCAGCTGCTGTGTCCTGAGGGTGAGCACAGCCATGTGCCAAAGCAATTCCACAGGGTGTTCTTGCTGCTCTGTGTGGGCAGGGCACAGGTGATCCCCAGCTCTGCCGTGAAACTCTTCAGCTGGAGCTTCCCTGGAGACAACATCTGCCTCAGGACTAACAAGTGGCTCACAAGGGCTGTCATGCTGACTTTCTTTGCTTGAAAAGGTGCCAAGAAATTCAGACAATTTGCAAAGAGCTGGGTGTTATTGGACATTTATAATTAACACATTTAATGTGACGCTTCATTGACCACAAACAATGAAGTCTCATTTCTGCACTGGTACAACCCAGGCCAGAAGAATCCTTCCTGGGCAGTTGGATAAGCCCTGGCACAGCTGCCCAGGGCAGGGATGGAGTCACCACCCCTGGAGGGAGTTAAAAGATGTGCAGATCTGGATTTTGAGGATGTGGGTCAGTGGTGGCCTCGGCAGTGTTGGACTCAGTGATTTTAGGGAGCTTTTCCAACCCTACTGACTCTGTAATTCTCTAATTCCCATCTTTTTCTCTGCAGCATTGGGAACACAATGAAAACAGTGCTGAGCAGGAGAACAGTGTGAAGTGACCCTGATGGGGGAGCTGGGGTGTGGAACCTCAGCAAAGTTTCCTTGTAGACACCAGTGAGCTGAAATAGTTGTAACTAAAAATGGGAATTCTCATGCGCATGCTGAGCTCCATCTTAGTGTTAGCAAGTGTTTTTAAGCTCTCTGCTTTTACTGGCATCATGCTTTTAAAATCAGAGTATCTTTGGCTGTAAAGAACAAATCACAAAGGAGCCAGGGCTGTGTGGCTGGGGGTGTGACACCTCTCAGGGGGAATGGAGGTGTTATTTTGCTGTATAAACATATCACACACATCTTTGTGGTCCTCAGTGTATTAAACTAAACTGTCAGGTTACATTTGATCAGTGTTCATAGGGTTATACCTTTCAAGCTGCTTTTGAAAGCTGGTTTTGTTCAAGCTCATTCAGGTAATCCTGTCACACACAAGTGGGATGAGCAGATGTCATGGGCATTTGGGGGAATATTGTGGATCTGTAGCCAAGGCAAATCAATAGTAAGGAAGGGGGGGCGATGGATAAACTCAAGACATTTCCCTCTCCTTGTCCTCTGATGGAGTTAACCCTGTGCTAAGGTGATGTTCCTGATAATAATTGGAGAAAAATATCCAGCCTAGCTGTGTTTTCTGGCTTTGATTGATTATTGTCTTGTACTGTCACCTCATTTACTCTGGGCAGGTTTGAAATGCTCTCCCACCCTTCTGCTCTGCCCACTGAGGGGGCACAGGGTGTTCCTGAAACAGCCAAAAGAGCAGAGGGGAGGAGAGAGAGGGGCTGGGGACAAGGGATGGAGTGACAGGAGAAGGGAATGGCTCCCAGTGCCAGAGGGCAGGGCTGGATGGGATTTGGGGCAGGAATTGTTCCCTGGCAGGGTGGGCAGTGCCTGGCACAGGTGCCCAGAGCAGCTGGGGCTGCCCCTGGATCCCTGGCAGTGCCCAAGGCCAGGCTGGACACTGGGGCTGGAGCTCCTGGGCCAGGCTGGACACTGGGGCTGGAGCTCCTGGGACAGGGGAAGGGGTCCCTGCCATGGCAGGGGTGGCACTGGAGGGGCTTTAAGGTCCTTTCCACACAAACCATGCTGGGATTCTATAACTCTTGAGATTTAGGTGCTTAAGAAGCCCCTGGTTTTTGCCACAACTCCAGAGAATCCTGTGAGAATGCAGAAACTCTCAGGTGTTTGTGTGTAAGGCAGTCTTTGAGCAGAGATCAGGAGCAGAGCTCATGGCTGGGCAGGTGGGATTTGCACCCTGGCTCCAAGGTCTGTGCAGCAGTTTGGGAAGAGCCTTGTGCTGGTGCCAGAGGGGTGGGAAGCACAGCCTGGCCTCACAAGGGTTTGCTGTGCCTCTGGGTGTGTTTCAGAAGGATTGTCAGGACAAGACCTAGATGTCTTTGATTAAAATGCAGAATTGAAACAGGAAGGTGAAACTCTTTGATCACAAACCCATTACTAGGAAAGAATATTACCCAGTGACCTTGTCAGCATCACTTCCCACCTGGGAAGTTTTCCAGCCCATTTGGAGCCCCTTCAGTCATCCCCCAGGACCTGGCTGTGGAACACTTCGGGGCTGTGTACTTAATGATGTCATTTATTGATTCCCAGCTGCATGGGTTAGGAAGTCAAGAGATTTTATTGGAAATAAACCTTTGGCTGTGTGTGTTAAAGCAGGATTGAGTTCTTGCACCTGTCTGCAGCTCCTTTCTACTTACAAAATGCCAGGGTTCCTGACAGGGCTGTTTGGATATTCCCTTCTTCGCTTCCCTCTAGAAAGCTTTACCCCATTCCTTTGTACTAAATCAAGAGGTGCTTTTTAAAAATAAACAAGTGCTGTCAGATGCTCCCAGTGTACAGCTATAGGAGTTACACTGATGGACTGTGTTCTGTTTAACAGCTGGATGGAGTAAATGGTTTCATGAGCAGTATTGGAGGACTCTGCACTCTCAAATCAAGGCCAGAAGCAGCTCAGTGACTGAAGAATTGTCAGCATCTTGTGCAATCCCACTAAGTGCTTCTTTTCATTGATCTGCAACTTCATTGTTGACAATTAAATCCTTTTCAGTGCAGAGGATAAACATTTTTAACAGGAGGTAGCAAAATCTTTTGTCCTGAATGATTTTCTTCTCTGTTTTATAATTAAGTACAAAGTGTGTCACCAGCCTTGCTGTTCACTTGTGCTAAATACCTGCTCACTGTGGAGTAATTGCTATCAGCAGATGACAGAGCTGCAAGGAGCTGTGCTTTCGAAGGCATGTTCTTCATTTGCATAATCAAATGCTTTGTTAGTGTCCTTGGAAATTAGGATGAAAGATGACTGTGTGCTAAAAACGAGAAATTGTTTTTAGCAAATTCTGTGTATCCAGTAGAACAGCTGAGCTGCTCTGGGGCCTGTTTGATGTGTGCTGGCTGCTGCACCCACAGCCTCCTCCCTGCTGCTGGTAACAGCTCCTGGCACCTGCCTCTCCCTATCCACACATCGCCCTGACCAACGTCTCATCAATATGAAATGGAAAATCAGGCCTGCAATCTCATTCATTACTTCAGGCCTGGTAAAGCGCTTGGAAAGAGCTGGTGGTCTGTGGGTTGGGTCTGTCCTGCATTCCATGACTCCAGAGATATCCTGGGGGTTTGTATTGCTTGTGACACTTTGTACCAGCTCCCCACTTACCCACGATAAAGCTGGAGAAAATAGGTTTGAAAGGTCTGGGGTTTTTATCTTGCATTAAGAAGTTTGGAGAAAATTTGAGTTAGGCAGATGCAGTGTTACCAAGAGTTCAACTTACCAAAGCAGTGAAAGAAAATTAATACTATTTTTAAATTAAATGATGCTTAAATTAAATGATAAAAATATTTCTTTGGTAGATTGAATGCTCAGTCCCAAAGATAATGCTGCAGAACACTGAAAACTCCTGTAATTTTCCCACTTGTGAAGTAGGGACTTTGAACTCAATCCTAAACTTTCCTCTCAGGAAAGTGGAATATTTAAAGAAAGGTTTTTCCACGGTAAGTTTGACATGGTCCTGCAGGGGTGTCACTCAGGGGATTTCATTCCCCAGGGTCAGGGATGCCCAGGACACTCAGGGCTGGGGGTGGCCAGGGCACAGCCTGTGCTGGCTCTTGGCACCTCCTGTGCTCTTTGCTGCTTCCAGACACGCTGAACCCATCTGCAAACATGGCACAACGAGAGGGTTCTGCATTCTCCAGGAATGTCACATCTGGCAAATTCCAACAGGGACTTTCTGTCAGTGGAGAACAGCTGGGCTGTTCCTGTGGCTCTGATGTTCCCAACTGGCCACCTCTGGCCAACCTTTAACTCTTCAGGAACACCCAGATGAGACAGAGGAGCCAGAATGCAGAGTTCAGGTCAGATTTTAGTGGTTTGCACGTTAGGAAGAGAAACAGTGATGGAAAGGTGCGTATTGCCTGTATTTATTACACAAATCCATGTCTCCAGAGGGAAGTGTTTGTTGGTTCTCCCAGCTACAGAGTCTCTCCAGGTCACCTGAATCACCTGGGTCAGCTACAGGTGTCCCCAGAGCAGCCTTGGCTGCTCCCTGGTGTGATGGAGCCAAGCCAGTGATAGTCACAGACACAGCAGGGTGACGTGGATTGAACATGATTTAGTGGTGAACATGGCAAAAGGTCTTTTCCAAACTCAAACATTCTGTGAGAAGCACAGAGCTGCCGTGGTGTTGGCTCCCTCAGCGGGTCAGCTCCCTCAGTTTGCTCTCAGGGAGGGAGTGATGATGAAGAACAAGGATGGAGAGCAGGAGCGCTGAGCAGGTCTGTCTTCTCTGCCACGTGTTCTGTTTTGAGGAGTTACTGGGGCAGATGGATTTGATTCAGTTTCACATTCTCCTGGATGGTTCTTGATGGCAGCAAGATGGAAGTGCCCAGAGTGTGAGTGACCCAGCAGTGCCTCTGGGCTGGTCTGTCTCGTGTTTAACCATTTTCTCTCTGTGTTGTTGCTGTTGCAGATAAAGAGGTGGGAGTTGGCGCGCTTGCTGACAATGCCGACCCTGGTGCTAGGGGCCCAGCTGTCCCCAAAATATCAGGACTAGAAAGGAGCCAAGAGAAGAGCCAGGACAGCAGCAAAGACCCAATACTTGAGCCTGTGGTGCCTAAAGACCCCCATCCTCAGGTGACACCGCCGCCGCTGGAGCCGCCGTCCCAGGGCCTCTGTCCCAGCCCCGCGCTCGCCCCGCGCCCGGAGGCTCCA